GTTGTATCTTTGATTAACGAAGCACGTCGAATACATTGGAATATCTGGCAACGGGATTATCATCGGACGCAGTGTCGATCAGCAGCTCGAACGTCGATCAATCTGCTTAGAAGCACAATTTACCCGTGAAACAGCTCGACTGGGATTTAAAGCAACTTTCCGCTGGATCTGATCGCATTAATTACTGCTGGGTACAGCTGGTTACTAATTTACGTAGCGAAATGACCGTGCAACCGTGAATGGACGGAGAACGGTGAACATTCTCTGTTTTAACTAAACCGGAGTCACGCCGGCCGTGAAAATTTCCACCGGGATAAATATTCTAATAGCCGTTCGGAGGACTTACAGATCGCGTAGTTAATTTAACGTTACGGAGGCGCGACTCCTTGGGGAGAAATAACGGTTGAAAGGTTTACGGAGACGAGGAGAACAAACGGTACGCGTAAAATCGCCGACGTCGGGCTATCAGCCACGAAACTTTTCCATTCAAAATAAGACGCTTTTAATTAGGCTGTCCTGATTAACGGTAACTAAAAGAGCAAACTCGAACCGAGACGGGGAAACGGTGGGACGAGGACTCTTCGTTCCAACTTCTCACGCCGTTGTGGAAAAGGTCAGACGATTTTTCATTTGCAACGAGAAGAAAAACGTTGGGTTTGAGACTGGACCCTACTGGCGCGAATTAACTCGAGAACCTTTGACACGTGTCCAAGATGATAATTAGAAACCGTAACGAGAACAGACGCGAGACGGAACGTCCCAATTTCTATCCCATCGATCTTATTGCTACGATAGGCGTCGAAGAAGCCGGGCCGGGAGCATCGATAAGTATGGAATTAGAGTCTTTTCCCAACCTCGAGTGTCCTCAAAGGAAGCCTCGGAATGAAATAGAAACTGGGACGTAAGCGAGGACGTTGGAAGGATGCTCGATATTGCGCGATGCATCTTTTATGAGGAGATTTCAATGTACAGATTTCCGTGAGATTCCCGGTATTCATAATATTATCGAGGTGTTCGTTGCTGAAAGAGCATCGCGTATCCGGTAAACGGCGATATTAAGTTTTAGTGGAGTCTACAGCGACGAACAGGATGCATTCGATGAAATTGTCAAGAATAAACTACCACTGGGGCTATTAAAATAATGTAATATCAGTTGTTCGAGTGCTACGATTAAATAGGTTGTCATATTTGAGTACTCTTAGAGTATGGACAGTCGAAATGTTTGTTCGTTTAAATCGAAGGTTTATAAACTTTCAAGCTTTCGAACGATGTTAGCGTCGTTGGGGATAAATTGACAAGTATGCCATTGGATTATTGAATATTTCTGTCATTCGTGCTAAAATTGAAACGAATGTCAAGGATATTCGCCGGTCGACGGATTTGCCCAGCTCGGCGCTTGAAAAATCCCTTTTTTCGTGAAACTAGCGAAAAACGGGGATATATCAATTACAGGTCTGATTTGGAACTTTTCCCTGCGAGCTTGTTTTTCGTTTCGTTGGCGAGAAACTTTGCCAAAGTATCGACACCGGACCACGAGATGCAAGGTGTACGCGTAACGTGAAATATTATTGGCTCTCGAAAGGTCGTATTTATGGTTTCGACGGAGTTGCACTTTATCACAGCTGGCCGTTCCGTTCTGTCGCTATTAAAATCCATACACGAAGCGTTTTTACGAACGTTCTCGTTCATTTCATCTATCGCGACGATAAATTCTCAAATTTCGATTATCGCTGCTTGTAACCGACGAATATTGCCGCGAGAGTTAATTAATTTCGAATCAGTTAGCAGAGTTAGATTGATGGATTCCGTAAATCTAGTGTCAAATTTCCCAGTTTATCTAAATATTGAATTTCCACAAACAAGGGGTTAATAAAATATTTCTAAAATAAAATTGCTAGCACAAGCTAAGATTCTTCTCTAAAAGTTTATTTAAATTTCAAGACATTACAGATTACTTTTCTGTTTCATTGAAATTTCTAAAGATTCTCTAAGAAAAATGGCGTCGAAAGCTTTCCTATAGGTTTATTTCTCTCGAGTGCAGCGACGCTTTTCGAGCAAGATCGTTTCAATCGTGTAAACACGGAGCCCAATGCAATTGTGGTCGCCTTATTTGCAACCATGGGTGATGGTTTACAGTTCGGTTTTGAAGTGACACAGACTATTTTGCGGATAACATAAGAAATGACAGATTTTCCGCGATTTTCCACGATACAGAAAACCAGTGGCAGTGAATCTTTACGAAATTCACGGAACACTTTCGACTATAAGAAAAATTTGCAGAGCAGAAAGGGGCGAACTTTAAGTAGTTCAGTCGGAAATGCAAATTGCATCTTGTCCGCGTTGTAAACTGTGCATTACATATTTATGGTGAAATTCGTTCGAGCGTAGTTTTCTGGCTGGTACGCCATTTTCATAATTTTGCGAGACACTTGTAACAAGTTTGCTGAACGCTGGCTAAAAATGACGCAGAATCGGCCCCCCGATTCATACAATGTAAAACTAGATTTTGAAACTACTTTCAGCTTCAAATTGCTGTTGTCGTTTATCTGAAATATTTTTTTTTACATTTTCCATACTCAAAGGGTCGCAACAGTTCTTGGTTAAATAGTTGTCAGTGTTTTTTACAGTTACAAGATTTACAAGTTGCTCGAGTTCGTTTCTTCTTTCCGGCGTTGTTGGAATATTGGTTATAATATCGTCTCTAATAAATCACCAGAAAAAGAAGTCCAGAGGTAAAAGAGAAACGAGGAGGTTACGTAATAGATCCACAATGTCCTATCTACCTTCTATGAAATTTCCTATTTTGACGGGGACGTGTATTCCAAGCAAAATATTTCGAAACACCATCACGATGAAATCGTATTATTGCCCTTCTATCGAGGGACAGATTCTCTAACAGTTTTGATGAAAAGTTGCAATAAACTGTGCTCTATTTACTTTCAATTTAGTTTCTTATTTTTATCTGTTGTTTGATATTTACAACTCTTTTAATATTTACAAATTCTCCTTTTACGATACGACGTGTCCATCGAAAGGTCGGCTTATCGCGGCTGTAATTTATCAAGCAGAATCGCCAAGATAAGTACCGACGATGGTGTCGTCTTAAAAGCTCGTTTTATTATTGATCGACGCAATGCTATTATATCTGGCTGGATCCTTCGTCGACGTGTCTTGAATAAAATATAAGCAACGGGTATGTAGAAAATAACCCCGGTGCTTCCAGATTCGTTCGAAGGTTCCATGACTTTGTTTTTACATTGGCATTGGTATTGATTCCGAAACTCTCGTCGCTTTATAATCCTCGATAAATATTCCATTTGGACCGTCAAAGGTAACTTCGTTGTTCCGATAAACTAGCTAGACGGGGAAACCGAAAGTGATGTATGGATTATTCATAACGTTTCCTTCCGCGTAATCCACCATCGAGACAATTTCTATCCCACGGCTGACAATTTGCAAGCTTCGCGCCACCGGGCAATTATATTTTTGTAATTAATTCACGCGACCATATAATTCCATTCCCGATTTATGCGTTATTTCGTTTGAAAATATTCCACGTTCGTCCGGAATTTTATTCTCCTGCTTACAAATTTTTCAATTTAATTTCTACCGACATAATTATCACTGTTTATTCGACGTGAAATATAATTCCATTTTACAATGCAAATTGTTTGCATTTCATTCGTTATTGAACATTTTCTATCTAAATGAGGATTTTTGTCATCGTATTTTTCAGCGTCGTCTGTGTGCGTCAGGTTTCGTAAAAATCTGAAACTGCTAATTGGCTGATGAATAGTTTTAGTTGCAAATCAATGAGACAGTCAGGATTGATCTTCTTTCTGCCAAGAAAACATTTGATGTGGAATTTACCACGCTCTTAAAAAAGAAATAAACACGTGAGAAGTATATTCATCGGTATTATGAAAAGAATTTGTAAAATAAGCGTTCTTTAGACTGCTTTTCAAAAACTATTGAACATTCGGTGTAGTAGCAATTCAATAATGTTACATAATGTATTTACATTGATAATATGAGAATAATTACGATTCTATCTTGAACAGTTCGAAAGAGGCAATATTAAAATGTGCACAATCCACATCAATATTAGTAGATTAAGTCAATTCTCGTCTGAATATTTATAAATCTCTCAAGGTTTCCGCGAATCTCAGAAGTCTTCGACGAACAAGCATTCTAAAAAACACTTCATCTTTTTTATATCTCCGGCAATTCAAGCAGCACTCGAAGCACATTTCACAGTTTTTGTTTCCAGATTCTTCAAACACTGGAAATATCTCTTCGTATCGCTTATCATTAATTAAGGCTGATGACGAACAAATTCGTTGGAACATTCAATCATTCCTTTTTACGTCCACATAGTAAAATACAAAATGAATCAAATAAACATATATGAATCTTAATCACTAAGAATCAAGCAAATAATATAAACATTTATCATATTTTATTTACCATAATTATTTCTACCTGTTTCACAAACATTTAGGTAATCGTAATCGTAGATGGTCCAATTCTAGGACAGAAACAAGCAATTATAATTACTTTGGAATGATAGAATAATTAACATATAGGATATCCAATTCGATATCTCTGAAATAATTGGTTAAATGGTTTCTGAAAGCATTAAATTATTTATTTTTAATAGACTCTTGTTCGAAACGTATCCCGATATTTCTTAATCAATCCTCTCAACTAAAAACACTCCAGTTCCCCGCTAAAAATAAATCTTGGCACTCGTGTTTCCTCGTGGGGATCCGGCGTTCGAGTTACGAACGAGCTTCCAGTCGAAACTGTCCCTATCCAATTATCTTCTGCATTCGAATATTTTTATTTGCATAATTTCGCGATCGATCTTGACCTACTGACGAAGACGACTCCGAGACGCAACTAGGAAACGGATCGATTAATAATTTCAAAAAAGGGGGGGGGGCGGTAAATCTGTTCCTGGAGAGGGTGAAGTAAAAAACTGTCATCGTTTGTTTCAGATGGAGGAGGGGGCGGAATAATACACAGGCAGATCCCTTGGAACGCGAGCAGCATAGTCGTAAAATCGAACTTGAGGAATCCATAAACTACTCTAAAAACAGGGATCGCCGGTACCGAATAAACGCACCGTTCCTCCCCCTCTGCTCGTGATCGAGTATCCTGTGCCTAAGCCCCGTTGGTTTCTTGCCCCGGGATCAATTTGAAACCGATGCCAGGAATGGGGCGCATTTTACGAGGCAGCGTGCGTCGCATAACAGAAAGGGCCCTCGACGATCCACGCTGCGCCCGCGTTACCAAAGGTATGGCGGAACGCTGGACAAAGTAGTCGTGGTTTAAGGCAGGGCTCGCTGAACTACTTTCCTAATAACCCCCCGACGCTGTATCAATTTAATAAAACGGGAAACGTCATGTAGCGAAAAAATTTATCGGTCGTATACGGAGCGTCCCACGCAACTGGCAGAAGCTATATCTTTAGAACGGTTTCGGGGTAAAAAAATATATATCGAACGTCGACAGAAATCGAATGTATATTTATAGATTTTAAGCGGTATCAATTTTGATTATAAATTGCTTCGAACGGTGCAATGAAACGTATAGAGTTACATTTTTAAAAAACGATGCAGTTTATTATGGGGTTGCCCTCACTTTACGGGGTTGAGGAGCAACTTTTCCTAAATTTTTAGAATTTCCTCATATTCTCCATTAAAATACGCGTCGTTTGCTTTGTGAAACATTAAAATCCTTCAATCCGTTCAGAAGTTATGACGTTTCAAAGATTCGCATGAAAATTCAGGGGAACATATCAACGGTATGGTCAGACATATGAAATTTTCGGTAAGGAATTTTTTTCTCGAAAATGCGTAGGATTTCAGGGGTATGCATAATGACCAAAAATAATTGTAATCGACCCCTGCAACTAAAAATAATTTTTTCAGACTGATTTGAAATTTGTTTATTTTCGCCGAATTTGTCCACCTTCTATTACAATTATTATTTAATCAGTCTTATTATGGAAATTCTTTGCAGAACTGGATCGTTCGTGCTCGTGTATACACGTGTCGCGTCAAGGCCAGGTGGGGCGTTGCTGAATTCGCTCGGTGAACCGCGTCCAATCGGTGACTATGCGGATCGAAGGACAAAGTCGAGGTTCGGTATCCGTGGTAGTGAACAGGTTCACGCGGCACAGGCGTCATAGTTCGCTCGTGGACAAAGTGCCCTGGTGTCGAGGATGCCTCGAGGCTGGTGAACGAAACGCTGTCGATGGACGAGTCGCCGCTGCGTACCGGTGAAAGAGTACGGATGTAGCTCTGACAGGGTGTGGGACACGAAGGACACCATGGACGGGAACCTGACCGTCTGGACGAGCAATCTGACGGCGATGCTACACCAGGTGCCATGCAACGACAGCTTCCTGGGCTGCGTGGACGATTGCGGGTCCGATCTGTTGGGGTTCGATCATCTTTGCACGTCCGACAAAGGCACCTTTACTTCGTCGATGTCGTTGCTATGCAGGCCTTGCGATTACTCCTGCGACGTGAACGTGTCGTTGGTCCTCAGCGGGTTCGAGAGCGTGGAGGGTGTCTTTCTGTCGAGGATACCGAGGTTCAGGGAGTGCAACGAGACGGCGTTTGAGAACGAGGTAAGGATTTCAGGGGATCCTTTCATCGTCCATAACATTTTGACTATTAAAGGAAATAAATTTGAATAGTATGCATAATAGGATGAATTCTAGCTTATGAAAATAAGTACTCTGACAAATTTTAAGTTATATATTATAGTTTACAACTGTCTAAAATCCAAGTTTTGGTCTTATAAACAGTGTTACGATTTTGGTCTGACAGTCAACGTGTTAAGACCTTTTTTGTAATTTTTTTTAAATGGTAGACAGGGTGTTTTATATTAAAATTTTGAGGATACATTTACTCAGCTTGTAAGTTTGCACAGTATTCTTTTCGTCCAAGAATATTAAAAATTGTGGGAGTTGTAACTTCTTGTTTAATGGCTCTTCTGAAAAAGCTGCTACGCTGGCTTCCACGATTCCAACCAATTCGTTAGTCTGAAACAGAGGGGGAAAAAGTATTTTCATTAGGAAGGGTGCAGTTATGGCAGAAACAAGAGCGAAGTTGAAATCTTAATAAATAACAATATGACGGGGCTCGAAATTTAGAGTTTCGATTCTTTAGTTTTTTCATCTTTAGCGTATTATAAAGAAATAGCGAAAAATCAATATTTCAGGTCTACTGAATCTTGAGATATCATGAATATCTGTCGCGTCTGACCATGGATTGTCTTTTCTACTTGCATCGAAGTCAAAGTCGCACTCCATTGCACTTATTCGATGGCTCTTTAATACTTTCACTCTCAGACAAATTTAAAGGTTTTCTGTGTGGTTCGAACAATTTCTTCTAATCTTTATTCTTCACTTTAAAGTGACAAATTTAATTTATTTTTAAATATATCTCGACAACTTAGAAAGGATCCTTGAATTGAGATCAGGTGTCCCCATAGACTCATTTTTCCCTTCAGTTGCTTAACGTTTGCATTTTCACGATATTCCCAGTTCGAATCTCACCTCATATTTCTTTTTAATTAATAGTCGAGGACCCAACGCTGCAAAATATCAACCTCCTATCACGCTCAACTCCTTTTCGAAATCCTCGAACTATGCATACTGCGCTATCTTAAAATTTTCAAATACAAAAGTGGACGAAACTGATTGAAAGTTTGCTTTAGAATCGAGTTTCTTCGCGCGAAATCTCGTCTGAAACGAGCCTCGACTTAACCGAACATCAGTACGGTCATTAGAAACTTATCAAAGCGACACAAGTTCCGATTACTTCAGCTCCGAGACAGATTTATTCGCCTTTCTCTTGAAAAATTCATGGACTCTTCGTTTTCTTACAGAAAGCCACGTAACAACGTTTCGAAGCTGCGAATCCGTTTATGCGAGAGATTAACATTCGCGAGCGATGTTCCCCGATGTTCCAGGAAAGTTCCACTACTCGCGAAACGTCCGGACTGTTTCGAACGTTTAGTCGCCGCGAAAATAAAAATTCATCATATACTTTCCCCGCTACCTTTGCACGCGAGGGAACTGCGTTAATTAACGCGAGCTCGAGATTCGTTTTTTCCACGACAAGAACTGGGACAGTCTGAGAAAAATGTTCGTCGTCGATCGAATGTAATTGCACCCTTGAAGCTTTACGGTCTCGAGATATATAAACCGCCCGGTAATTCGTTCCAAATCCGAATCATTACTCGATCATTAGCAATAACAAGGGGGACAAGAATCGTTTGGAAAAGCAACTACTTGGCCACTTAAATATTAATTAATTAATGCTCATGTTAAATAACCAGTAACCGAGTTTGTCGATCTTTTAGTATCCCCATATAACATTATGCACATCTACAAAATTTCCTCAATTAATTTAATATGGATTATTTTTATTGCGTGGCTAATTATACAATAGAGAGTTAATCATGATGTGCAAGGATGTGGAAATTCTCTCCGTTTTGCTTTATGAATTTAAATAATAGCTGACACAGACAAAACGTGGATAGCTACGCTGGAACGCTGCAATAAATTTTGAAGATGTATTAAAAGAATAAAATACGATCTAATTGTATGTTTGCGTGTTTAGATCCTGGAATGCACGCCAACGGGAAACGCGACGACGGTGGACCTCGCGGTGTCCTGTTCGCACCGGACGAAATTAAGTTCGTCGACGAGGAGTCGCCGTTTCGACTGGAGCTTCCTGTTCGTGGCGGTGTTCATCGTGGCGGGCGGTCTGGGCAATATACTGGTCTGTCTGGCCGTGGGTCTCGACAGGAGGCTGCACAACGTCACGAATTACTTTCTTCTGTCGTTGGCCGTCGCCGATCTCCTCGTCAGCCTGTTCGTGATGCCGCTGGGAGCGATACAAGGATTCCTCGGTGAGTCCTCCGACGATCAAACTGATTTTACTGACTCGAAAACGTTGCAAATGTCGAATTAAAAAATCGTCACTCACAAGGAAGGGTTTTTAACATTCTGCTCTGCCATGGGTCTAAAATATCGAAAAGTATTCTTTTTATTATCTAATTCAAGGTGATAAATTCAGGTAACTTGCCCTCTATATTACGAAGGGATAGATACTAACCTCCAGAGCTCTTATCACAATTTTATCGAATTAATTCATTTAGTATTTAAAAATAAAATACAGCTTCGAAAACGTTGCAAATACCTACCTACTGTCGAATTAAAAATTCGTCACTCACAAGGAAGGGTTTTTAACATTCTGCTCTGCCATGGGTCTAAAATATCGAAAAGTATTCTTTTTATTATCTAATTTAAGGTGATAAATTCAGGTAACTTGCCCTCTATATTAGGAAGGGATAATTTTATCGAATTAATTAATTTAGTATTTAAAAAGAAAATACAAATACCTAACTATAGGACGACACATTTACGAGACAATAATAAAGATCACTTTATTTGTTTACAACGAATTTCTGATTCTTACCTTAACATTCTCACCTTACAAAATCCTAGGACTCCGTTAGCGCTTGAAATTTCAAGACCGTAAAAGAGACACAATCGTGGAGGGAGGTCGCGTTCATAGTACAATGAAAGGAAGTTAGTAGATGTACGAAGTTATTTAAGCACCGCGGATAATTGTTCGGATATAAATGGAGAATTAAAGGATACATTTAGAGCGGAATGGGGTGATAGCGAGAAATTCCATATTCTTAAAGTTCTTCCGAAGTCATGGAGTATTAAGAAAGTTTGCAAAGGTTTCAACGCGTACCGTATGGCGAGACAAGTACCTACAGCGTTGCGTGTCGAAGACGAAGTAATATCAACTTCAAATTCTAAACACGATCGTCGAATACCAGAGAGAACGGTCTATAACAGAAGACTCAAACTGTAATGGCGAGATAAGTAGGGCAATACTCGATAAAGTCAATATTATTTTACTATCTAGAATACGTCTTTGCAAAACGATTGGTCTTTTAGAGAAACGTGGGATAGATTTATGTCTTTTAGAAGTCTGATCCACTCCATTTGCGTCTGTATAATTCGTAAAAATCGAAACACGTCAATTTTCTGATCTAACGTTTTACGTGTGTTTTACGTCCTGTTCGAATCAAACATTTGGAGGCCCAAAATCGTACATGGCTGCGCCATTTCCTCTTGATTTTATTCCCTGGCGCGCAACAGAATCCGTAACCGCAGACACCGATAGTTTGGACCGTAGCCAGCTCGGCGAAAACAAAAGGAAAGCAATCAGTCGATAAAATCGAACTAATTAGAGAGATTTGGCAGTGTTTCGCGACATTGCTGACCCTGTCGATTGCAAAATGTTCCCCCCGATTCGAAGCGAAAAAAAAGAAAGCGATCCGATTATTAATTTCGAACATCGCGAGGATCTGCTTTTCGCCGGCAGGAATAACTTCCAGGAGTTTCACTCAGCTCCTCGACCATTAAAATTTATTCATCGACGACTTTGCCGAAGTTTTTAATAAATGTAATTCTTCATTATACGACTTCTCGTTCTATGTGCAATTCTTCCGCGAGGTCAGTTCCCAGCTTCACGTTGAATTATTACGGTTTACCTTAATTAACCGGGAGATTTCGTGGGACAGAAGTGGTTCGTCAAAAATCTGAATGCAAAGGGATTGTAAAAATGAAATCGAAAATATCGATAATATCGTTTTACGCTACTATAAAGTAAACGTAAAAAGGGCAATTTCGTTTTGAAAACTCTTTCGTAACAATGAAATGTAGTTATACGACATAATATCGAATGAAAATCCCAATTCTTTAGACTTCGACCACAACTTGAGACATAAAATGCTTTGATTTCACCGAAAGCGTGCAGGAATTTTAAGAAGATGTAAATCTAGCTTGTAACATCATCGTAGAAGTTCTTCTTTACGGGGCCAGAAACGATTTCACCGGGAATCGTCGTATAAAATCGATTTCTGGAGCCCCAGTCGTCGTTGTTTAGGCTTAAGTGCTTTAGGAAAGGTTCGTTTTTATTGTTTGCAAGTAAAGGTATATATGATAATCAGACGATCGCGAAGTTTCCGTTTCATAAGCTAACGCGAAACCCACACTTTGAGCTTCGACGCCAAAACCAATTTTTTCAATGTCTAGGAATTTCATGTATATGTTTCATATATTTAAAATAATACAATTGGTATTACATTACATCTAGTTCGGAATTTCCAGAGCACATACGTAACCGATTAGAGGTGTTTGATCAGTCGTGATACGAGATATTTGATCACATTTGATAGAAGAGTAATAGGAGCATGTCACAATTTATCATATGTCGACTTGCAACGACAGTCGTATCGATGCACAGGACTAATTTAGTCACACAATATAAGGAGCCATTTATCATACGAAGGTTGTCTTTATCAGAGTCTAAACAATCTGTATAAAATTGTGAATTAAAAATATCTTCGTCTACATAGTACTTGCATCCATCTATTACGACTAAAATTTTTTTAAAATATCAAACGCTCGAAGATCATTTTTCCTGACAAGGTATTAATTTGAACATTTTATTCTCGTTGTTTAATTTTTGAGATTTAAGTTAAAAAAGGACCAGTTTGGTCAGATTTTCGGGGCGTACCAATTACTATACGATGCCAGGTGTTCAAACTTGGTAACAGCGGGAAACTTGAATCGAGTTGAACGTAATTGGACCGTTTTGACGGCGAGAATGCACTCTAGTTGGATGAACTCGAGAAGGATTCCCGCGATTTTATCTGACCAATCTTCCATCGGGTTTGAAAAATATTTTTTTCACCGACTGCTTGAAAGTTTCGCTCCCGTTACAAGTGGCTGAAGGGGAGTTCCTTGTTGGCCGGGGAATTAGAAAAAGGCAAAGCCGATAACTCGAACCGCGCGCCGACGGGGAAAACGAGCCGTAAAACTTCTACAAGAAATCCAATGCGCCCAGCGAACTTACTGAATCTTCCCATCGAGAACGCTCGACGTATTCCGTTTAATTTGAGACAAACAAATATATTTGTAGCTTCTCAGTACGAGATTAATCGTAGACTTACCATTTGGTTGTAAGAATGATAGATAAAACGATTGTGCATTGCTCTTGCAACCAAAGAAGAAGTCTACATTAATTCCTCGTTAAAGAATTAGAAATATTTCATCAGAAGTATTTCATTTCAATTATTAATTGTAGACTTACTATTTGGTTGCAAGAATGATAGATAAAACAATTGTGCATTGCTCATACAACTAAAAAAGAAGTCTACATTAATTCCTCGTTAAAGAATTAGAAATATTTCATCAGAAGTATTTCATTTCAATTATTAATTGTAGACTTACTATTTGGTTGTAAGAATGATATATAAAACGATTGTGCATTGCTCATGCAACTAAAAAAGAAGTCTACATTAATTCCTCGTTAAAGAATTAGAAATATTTCATCAGAAGTATTTCATTTCAATTATTAATTGTAGACTTACTATTTGGTTGTAAGAATGATAGATAAAACGATTGTGCATTGCTCATGCAACTAAAAAAGAAGTCTACATTAATTCCTCGTTAAAGAATTAAAAATATTTCATCAGAAGTATTTCATTTCAATTATTAATTGTAGACTTACTATTTGGTTATAAGAATGATATATAAAACGATTGTGCATTGCTCTAGCAACTAAAAAAGAAGTCTACATTAATTCCTCGTTAAAGAATTAGAAATATTTCATCAGAAGTATTTCATTTCAATTATTAATTGTAGACTTACTATTTGGTTGTAAGAATGATAGATAAAACGATTGTGCATTGCTCTTGCAACCAAAGAAGAAGTCTACATTAATTCCTCGTTAAAGAATTAGAAATATTTCATCAGAAGTATTTCATTTCAATTATTAATTGTAGACTTACTATTTGGTTGTAAGAATGATAGATAAAACAATTGTGCATTGCTCATGCAACTAAAAAAGAAGTCTACATTAATTCCTCGTTAAAGAATTAGAAATATTTCATCAGAAGTATTTCATTTCAATTATTAATTGTAGACTTACTATTTGGTTATAAGAATGATAAATAAAACGATTGTGCATTGCTCATGCAACTAAAAAGAAGTCTACATTAATTCCTCGTTAAAGAATTAGAAATATTTCATTTCAATTTTAGATTTGTCATTTTGAATGTGTGAATTTCTGAATTTCTGCTTGAATGTTTTTCTGAGTGTAATTTTTTTGAAAATAGGGCGATGGGTTTCTTCGTCGTTCGGCCACGAATGGCGTTGTAAGTTGCTCGAAATTTCGGTGACGTTAAAAACGCGAGGGACCAATATTTGTGTCAGTTGTTACGGTTCCCTACGTAGTAAAGACAATTTAGTTTCACTCTCGTCGCTTAATCAAACAGAAGGGGGATCGATAAAGTTAAGAAGATGTGGGCCGTGGAATCCTTTCGGGGCACTTAGGGTTGATTTAAATCAACACGGTTTCAAGTGTAATATCGTTAAAGAGCCAGAAGGTTGTATCTCGGGAACAAATGGTTCTAGAAGTCGCGTTTATCGGAACCTTTTTGTCAATTTCGTGACGTCAAATGTACCTTCGAGTTTTTTTTGTAAATGTCTCGAGCTCACCCCATAAATGAAAGGGTCGTCTTTTAACTTGCTTGTCAATTCGCGATAAAAGTTGTCAAACATATTCCATTTATACGATTCTATAATGAAGTTTGTTCTGAACAAAATATAAATATCTCTAAATTAAACAGTATTTGACCCAGATTTTACAATCTCTTTCTTCTCCCGTGTAAGACAACTCTTCGATCGTATTGGTATTTAATTGAACGTTTGTTTACTTAGGATAAAGTGCCAATTATGAATGAGGCTTACAAATGTTTAAGAATTGTACGATAAAAAGACAAAACTCATAATTATTTATCGCGACAGGTCAGCACAAAATGTA